TCGGTCAAAGAACGCTTGAAGTCTTCATGTCAATGAAGACATTTGTATCTACTGTAACTTTGCACACAGACACACGCACAAGACTCTCAAAACATGAAATTGCACCGAAAAAACATGGCTGAGGAAACTCTATAGGTTGCTGTCTTGAAACGAGGATAGCTTCAGGTACACATGTTAGTCAGGCGAAACCAGCCCTATGGCCGCCTCAGGCCCCTATGCACACGGAGGAAGCAGTAAAAAACCTCAATGAGGTTGTTAGCTGTTTCTATTCTCAGTTTGTGCATCCCAGACCTAATTCAATCGTAGACTGCGGATGTATTTCCACATGTAGGACCAAGGGTGGCCGGCCGAAGTTTGGGAGGCTGGCTTCTTTGAGTCTTACGCGGCGTCCATGCATTGGACACTGACCCAGCAGCTTGGACGGTGGTGACAGAGGTCACATGTCACGCACATGGTCTTCTTTGGTCACGACATGGTCACATGGAGAAGTTCAGACACTGCAAGTGTCAATATGCACTGGAAGTGTTCAGACAAGCCATCGCTATTAGGTTGGAGACCATCGCTACTAGGGCGGAGGCCATCGCGCTTAATTAGGTTTGAGGCAATCACAAGTATGATGGAGGCCATCGCTAGTAAGTAGGTTGGAGGCCATCGCTAGTAGGTTCCTTTGCAAGCAGCAAGGTCCAAGATTTGGTGCCAAAATCTGTAGACTGTAGACACCGAACTTGCAAGGATAGGCTTGTGGCTGAGCAATTGCAAGGGATAAACATAGTCATGATAATTGTTTGTTGCAGCTGAATCTTGTATACCTTCATGTTTTTTTGTATGTTGTAGAGTTTCTTTGGGATCTTCTGCCTCAAGGCCTAAAGTAGCAGAAATCTGTGTACACAAACTCCTGTCCCGTCTCATCTTTGAAGCAGTGGCATTTTTGGACAGTAGGTAGGTGTATTGGAGGTTTGACGAGTAAGGGCATGCTCAATACGTATTTATACGTTAAATTCAGTCAGTGGTTGACTTGAATTATATACTTCATCTTCCAACTTCCCACACTTATTCTTGCAGACCATCTCCCTCCCTCTATTCTCCACCCTCCTGCTTTCGATTGAACAGACGAGAGGTTCACACCTGCCACCAACAACATTGCGCCGGACAACGCCTTTGAAAGGTGCCTGCTTCTCCGTTTCTTTTGCTACTTGTTATAGCTATATATAATATATATTTGGCTACTAATACTATTTAGCAGAACATGGGCAGTGTTATTGCCTGCTGTAGTGCCCACATATGGAGGGGAAGGCCATGGCATGTACAATGTTTTAGGAAGGGCCAGGCCGTGCGAGATTTCTTCCAACGTCGGATCCTTCGAGTTCGATTGACCGAACCCAGTGGCACTCGTTCAGCAGCGTCCCAAACCTCGAAACTCTGCACGGACACTCGATGCGTAAGCAGTGCGTAAGCAACGCGTCAGCAAGGTTGTGACTCGAGTCACACATCTACTTTATATATACTAATATACATATATATATAATATATTTGTACTACCCTGTCCTTTTTAGAACAGGGTTGGAGACCAATCTCTCAGGCATTCTTTGCAGCACAAGTTGCAACATTCTTTTCTGTAGAGGTTGAATGGCCTCAGGTCACACAATTTCCGTGTGGGCCCTGTGGAAGCCGATGCGTAAGGTTCGAGTAGGCAAACTTTTCAGTAGGCAAACGTCAAGCACAACTGCTTTTTGAAGAACAAGAACTGTTGGCAAGAAGCGCTGCAAGCTCCATCAACGCCTACTAACACCTTTGTTGTCCTCGTTTGAGTCCTTTGCTTCATCCTTGACTCCTGCAGGCGCCCAAGAGGACCGCCTCAAGTGCAGTGGGAACATGCTGACAATGCTGAAAGATCCACGTAAGCCCTAAGAGAAAGAACTGCCTGCGTAAGCAAAAATCTGGGCAGCGTAAAGTTTGCGGAAGCTGACAGAAAGATTACAAGGCCAAGACCAAAGGGTTGTGACCACCGCTCAGTTGTCTTGAGTTTTTCTCAATTTGCTCATACCCAAGTTTTGTGATCAAGAAAGACAACTCCTTACAAGTCTCTTTGCTCTTGCCTTTTTTTGATCGTCCTCAACACCCGGCCGTGACAAAGGCAGAGAACTCCTTAGGCTCAGATGACTTTGTGATGATCAGTGGCATCATAAAGCACCATATGTTTGGGGCTGTCTATGATGTCTCTCCTGGTGGCCTTATCGTGATGATCCAAACATGAACTGTTGGAAGGGTGCTATGCAGACCCAACACGTAGAAAAGAGTTATATAATAGAAAGTAGGCACACGTGCAGAACACTTGGACTTCAGCAAAATTTGCCGCTTGTGGTTCGGTAGGGGCGTTCCAAATTCCGGTTTGACCACGAGTCACCCGGTTCCTCGACAAGCCTCGCTAAGCCACTCGGCGAGGCTCTTCGCGGTTTGGGTGATCCTTTTGGCCATGGGAGTCTTCTCGTCCTTCATCAGCTCCATCACTGCCACCGTCAGTCGCTGGCTTCACCAGGGAGAGGAACGAATGAGGGATGCGGAGGCGCAGGATGCTTCGTGGTGCCTAGTGGCCAAATCCGTGGAACAGTGAACAGTTGTGTGCTTTCAGGATTGTTTCTAGTAGTAACAAGTGCATCGCTAGTAGTAACAAGTGCCTTGCTAGTAGTAACAAGAAGCTATTAGGAACAAGTGCATCGCTCCTGACTATCTTAGACTTAGGCATCAAAAGAAGTACTTCGACCGACCAGCTGTAAATAGCTGTACTACCTCCCGCACTTCTACTGCCTCTGGTACTTCAGCATTTGTTTGTTTGTCCGTGTTCAGACATGGGTTTGGATCCCAGCTAATTGCTCAAAGAACTTCACCTTACCATCCTTACCTCAAGAAATCCAACTTTTCAATATAGTGAAACCAGAAGTTCTTAAAGACAGCTGCTTTAGGCCAACGACAACGGTTCAAGACCAGATTGTGAACTTCAAACGCTGTACCTCCGCACTTTGCCACCGGTGGCACGCCTCACCCACCCGCTGTGGGAACCGTCCTAAGCGTCAAACTTGAGGTTCCTTGAGGGCATCCCAGGCGAAGCAGTTACGGCCAGGAGCCCCTAGTAGCGTCCTTGCTCCTAGTAGCGATGCCAGGAGCCCCCAGTAGCTTCTTGCTCCTAGTAGTACGGCCAGGAGCCCCTAGTAGCGTCCTTGCTCCTAGGTTCCTTGAGGGCATCCCAGGCGAAGCAGTTCCATGAGCGTGCTGCGCTCCTGCGCTTCTTCTGCGAGCGGAATTTGTCGGCGGACCTCTTTGGCAAGGCGTCATGGGAGGTATGGAACCGTCGTTTCGTAGTGGGTCTTCCGAGATTGTCTTGTTGTTAGCAGATAGTGGCCTCCTAAATAACTAAATAGGTAATTATGTGAATGCCCTTTTGGTCCGAATACCAGTTCAGCAACTACTAAATCTTCCTTTGGATTGATGTTATGAGGGCATTGGAGGCATGTCCTGCAATTCCTCACGAGCGGATCTGGAGTTTGGACGTCGGCGACTGCAGCCTTAGACAAGGAGAAACCATGAGAAACCCAAATGAAGACTTGAACATGACGGACGTCCCCGAACACACTCTTTACAAAGAGCTCGTAAGCAACTTCCGCCACCTGTCTCAAACACACATTTGTGCAAACAACACATTCCTTTGGACGTTTTTCCCAAACCTGGCCACCATGTTTCTTGTTCTTTGTGGCCATCGAGGGAAGTATAGTGTATTCAGGGGTTTATGAAGCTACAGGCCCACAAGTGGATCCACTGGGAACGCATGGCCCTCTCTTCAAACTTCAATCAGTTCTTTGCCAAAGGCGGTGACCCGCGACCATTTTGGTGGAACTTGCAAGTGTTTTGGCCCTTGCGCTTGCCTGCGCTCAGGTGAACGAGGTGTTGCGGAAAGAAGGGATGTTTCAAGTCCGTACCTTGGCAGCTTTTCTTTTGGCTGCTGGCAAGCTTGCCAGTAGGTTGGAGCCCATCGCTACGAGGTTGGCAAGCTTGCCCAATCCACTCCTTCAATGCCAAAACAGGCTCACAGCTCACATGTCTTGTCTCTGCATCAGAAAAGCCTCGGCGGAAGTCTTCCAAAGAGCACCGCCGCATGCGTTGTCAATTTCCCTTTGCCAAGAACGCAAGGGAAGATCCGTCAGTGGAAGATTCGTCTGTATTTTTCGTCTATGATTGATGGCCTAAAGATGTGTTCCTTTTTCACACAGGTTGGGTACAGAAGGCCTGGTTCTCCAGACCTATCACATTCTATCACTTTTTTTAGCTGAAGACTTGGAGACATTCCGAGGTATTCAGGAGCAGGAGGTGGGCCTCATCAAGGGCATCCCTGAGACGCTGCTGCAGCAGCTTCACGAGGTGAAGATGATCGCAATGTTGGGGTTCGTTGGGGTTCGCTCATCTACTTCTAGGCTTTTTGGGGATGTCGAGGGCTTCAGGTCAGAAGCTTAAGTTTTAGAGCTGGTTTGATTTGGTACAGGTGCTTGGGAGTATGTAGTGCAGTGAGTCAGGAGTTTGGTCGGTATGCAGCTGACGGCCGGAGCTGGACGCAGTGTCTCAGTTTAGAGGGTTTGGAACTATGTCAGAGCTTGTGAGATATCTCCTGCTGTTTTGCTTTTGGGATAAAGTGTTTCAGCACCTCTGGCGAGGTTTTATGTTAGAAATGCTGTTCGTGTATCACGAGCCATCATGAATCAATGATCAGCACAAGTAGATGCATTCCAGTATGCATTCCATGCTTCTCCTTCTGGATTGCTGTCCTTTAAGTGGGAGGAGATGTACATGTCTCTGATGGCTCACTTGCCCTTCTGGCCGGAGTGGGCCTATGGTGAGGATGGGAGACGGTGCTGTTTGGAGTCGCGATTTTCTCGCGCGGGCTCTGTGGGATTGGCAGATGCTGAGGCTGACGAAGACCAGAAAGCCATCCTGTAACGTAACGCACGCGTTCAAATGTTGAGACAGGTTAATGGAGGTCAATGGTAAACGAAACATCACGATTACAAAGAACAATGCTCGAGCATGTATTATAGTCGGAATTGCTTCTTTGCTGTCTAGGCGCGCATTTCCGCCATCGCGAATGAAGTCCTGCCCCTGTTCACTGTGTTCCCGACAGACCCACAATCTGTACATACTTTGTGTACCAAGGGCCTGAGGGGCTACCAGCGGCTACCAGGGTGACTCATCCAGCAGCTGCCTCAAGAGCTGTGGCCTACTACTAGCGTGGCACTTGCTTCTAATAGCTTCTTGTTACTACTAGTAAGGCACCTGTTACTACTAGCGTGGCACGTGTTTCTACTAGCTAACAGTCCAGTTCCTGCGTGCAGGACATGCACTTCCTGCGGATTGTATGCCACTTTGCCATGAAGGAGCACATCGCCAAGCCCATGCAGGATGCCTTTTTGCCTGGCAGATGCAGCCCAGAGGCCACATGAATGGAGGAGGGAGAGGAGTAGTCTGCAAGAAGAGAGATCCTGCCTGAGAGAAGTCGAGTTTAAATGAGAAGACTTGAGTGGGAAGTTGGACTAAGTGAGAGGAGTGAGCAACGACTTGACCTCAAAAGGTCTAGTGTTTCATAGTGTTTGGATGTGTTTGGATGTTTCTTTTGAGAGTTCCTCCCAGGAAAAAAACAGACTCAACTGTGACCTGGTCATTGCTCTGTCATATCCTTCTTCCAGGCCTTGATCATTGAGACTGGGCACATGTGCTACATCCCTGCGGGCTCCACCCGCGACATTGTCGTAGGTGAAGGGGATATCCTGTGCCTGGCCAGTTTATGGGCTGAGCCTCAGCAACAAAAGGGCAGAGGATGTAGAGGATAAGAGTTGGAAGAATTAACATCTCGTGAGTTGGGCAGCTGGTGGAAATTCATATGGAGTTTGATGAGCATCCCCTTTGAAGTGGTTCCAGGGCAAGTAGTCAACGATGAATTCATTTTGCTAGTAAGCCGAGCTTCGATGGATGAAGCCGATGGGCGAAAAGAGGCAAACGCAGCTGATCCGCGCTGCTCCAAATTTTGAGAAACATCATGATAGTTCCCTTCCAAACTACTTGGGGCTGAAGGGCTTCCTCGTATGTCAATCGAACAGGTCCCAAGTCCGGTTGGACACGCGGCCCAGGAATGGCAATACCACGGACGCCTCACCGCCAGCTACGGTTCTGTTGGGAGGCCCAGTGAAGGTGCAGCAAAGGAGTCCAAGACAGGGGAGTTTTCTGAAAACCCTCAGGTCATTGAAAATCATTGAACAGAGAGTTCGAGCATGAACATCATTGAACAAAGGCAGTTCGAGTTTTCAGTTTTCAAAGTTTGGGTCCTCGGCATTTCATGTGGCCCTTTCATAGGGTCATGACCTGATCGAAACATGTCGAAATTTGATCAAGCATGGTTTACAAGGTTTCTATGCTTTTGGCACTCTGCTGTCGGGCATTGGGTAGAAATGGATGTTATTATCAGATCATGTCACATCAATCTCCCTTGGCTTCGGCTCTCGGATATTATGAGATACATAGAGGAAAGCAGCAGTGTTCCCAAGACCCACCGGTGGACCGTGACCGGTGACCAATATTGTTTTGACATTTCTTTCCCCATGTTTTCCCTGTAGGGTAAAGTAGTATGAAGAAACATAAAGCAACTTTGGTGCTGTGGCAAACAGCTGTGCTGCTTGCGGACTGGAGATGTTACTTGTTACTTTGTTTTTGATTCTGTTGCTGTACTGGGCACCTACGAGCTTCCGACATGCGGCCTGGCGGAACACATTTTATACTGTATAAGTTTTAGGCTTAATGGGCCAAAGCATACCTCGTTGGCCCAGACAAGGTCAAAATCAACACAATCACAAGACACTAGTAGGAACAAGAAGCTACTAGGGGCTCCTGGCATCGCTACCAGGAGCAAGGACGCTACTAGGGGCTCCTGACCGTACTACTAGGAGCAAGGACGCTACTGGCACCAAAGTGTGCAAGATCACCAAGATGCACTGCCAAACACTGCCCTCAGAGAATCTGGTGCCGAGGCAAACTATGTTGGCATCAACAGCGTGACCTTCTGCCAATTGGCCACTGAACATGGAGGCACAAAGATGACCGCCGGACCTTGAAGTCCTTTGCTTTGTGTTGCTGTACAGTTCTTGGAATCAGTCAGCTGTGAAGTTCTACCAACACTTTTCTTGCTTTGGCATGATTCTGCAAAGTGTTTCTTGTGATACCAGTCAGGTCCGTTGTGGCAATACTTGCAGATCTTTGGCATCTTGCCGCTTGGAACCAATGGACAGTATATGCACACACCCTATCCAATACAGAAATGCATTAAGGAACGGGATAGGTTGCTTGGAGACATCCCTATGCTGGAAGTAACCTACTCACACATTCTTCCATTAACTGTCAGTGAAAGAATGTCTACGAGAGTTTGTTCCGGGGACTCAGTGCTTGGCTGCTTAGGCTCTTGGGTCTGTTGGAGAGCAGCGGCAATGCCATCACCGACCTGATCTACAAGAGCTCGTTGATGGAGTTGGGCCCGCGCGCTGAGAAGTATGTGGCTCAGCCTCCACCTGGCACCCTCAATGTGCTGCAGCTGGCGGGATAGACCTTAGCGAACTCGTGTTGTTCCAATCAGCAAGTCTTCAGCATGGGTGGAAAGCCCGAGATCCATAGTCTGATACAGGCTAACCATGCGGAAATCCAGGCATTGTGTTCGGGTGCAGTGAAGATTGGGACGGGTTGCTCGTGTGGAAAGGAACGGATTTGATCCAAGAGGACCACCAAGATCCGGAAGGTACACGTACTGGTAGAGTAAACGCACTTATAGCAGTTTCAATCAGGATGAACATGCCAAGAGCCGTCAGTGGCGGTGAGTGTGAACGGCTCAAGCACTCCAACGTGATCATTCCGTGACAATTGTGGATGCTCTGTAGTAATAGACTTGTGTTCCAATCTCTGCTAACAAGGCTTTACTTTTGGATGCACTGGGGATCGCACGCAGTTTTTTGGTGACCACACAATTGATTAAACAGCTTGCAATGGTATAGGAAAGGGAAGCTGCAAGCTTGACAGGGATGGCTTTGCACACCAAAATACAGGTGCTGATGGCTGATGGGCCAATGGGCTTGGATTCCTTCAGTTTTGTTCACCCTTTTGGGGGCCAACCAACTTCCATCTTTTCCAGACCAGCAGAACGCCTCAAACCACCGAGGCCGCGGTCTTCAACGCCCGCAACGCGCGGACGAAGGGCTTCTCGCGGTCGCAGAGCGGCAGCAAGGAGTCGATCACCTGGTCCAAGAACATGGTGCAGACCTTGGCACCTGGGAGGAACTGGGAGGAAGAGAGAGACTCGTGAGTAGTCAATGAGTTCATGAAGGTGGGCAGGCAGAGTCGGTTTGTCCGGCATCCGGGCATCCGTCCATCTTATTGGGGGGGAAGTTGTAATGAAAGCTTTCATTCCCTTCAAGAAAAGAGGAACTGAATCCGGTTTGCCGGTTTGTTGATTGGGGCAGTTCACGATCTAATAAGCAGGAGATGCACCGGTTTGTTGATTGGGGCCAGTGGACCAGTCGTTCACGCGGAAACCGTGGCATTGGGTCCGGGTTCGCTTCGCTCAGGAAACCTTCGAGAAATTTGGCTCTCAGAGTCTCGGAGCATGAGCTGAACGCATCCGGAGCTGAGAACGAAACGGATGAGGAACGAGCTGAACCGTCTCGAATCGGAGAGAGCTAACCGACCCTTGTGAGCAAATGCAAGAACTTGTACAACTAAACATGTAAAACCCAGAATTCAATAGCCTAGATGTATGGCAAAACTATTCCTTTGAACAAACCAATGAATCTGGGGGTCCACAGGGTGTGCACTACTCACAGCCATATTAGGTCCTAGGTTTCTCCCACCAGAGCACATTTGACCCCACTCTTTACACGAGCCAGATATTCAACTACGTGGAAGATCCCTATGTTTGCACAACAACTATGATAGACCCTGCCATTTTACGAATATCTGTATATGTTAGGCGTATGGTTGCAACTCATAATTATGTTGTGGCTTCCTGTATGTTTGGACATGTGCTTTTCGCCGCTGTTCAGTATTGCTTTGACGGTATTTCTATTTCTACTGTCCAATACAGATTCTCACTTTTGTATATTACATATGTTGTACTGGCTGATTGACAAGGATGACAATGCTGGAGATGGTGCTCTTGTAAACCCCTTTGTGGTTGACTTCATGATGACGCAACGTTTGCTTGTATTCACTCCACAAACGAGGGGCAGCACATCATTATATATTTCATGCTTCCATGTGGTGGGGCTGCATTTACTGTGTTTGCCTGTTGATCATTTTTCATGCCTGTGCGATCGTTGCATCGTTGCGTGTTCTTTGCGAATACGTCATAGACCACAATTGGTCTTTTGCTCCTTGAGAGCTGCTCAAGAGGTGTCAGGATAACTTTCGGTTTCAGCTTCTGTAACTTCTGTGATCTATTTTATGGACCAACCTCCTCGGGCACCTAGGGCTTGACCGCAAACAACCTGCCGCAAAAACGTGTCTGTATATAAAAACCCTCATATCCAGAAACGTCGTACAGCAGCGTTTCCAGTGCAATCCCAGGGCGTAGATAACTGTTTTCCCCCAAGCGAGGAAACTGCACTAAAACTACTGAAAAGCGAAAGCCACTTGGTGTTTCTCCGAGAATGAATCTCCAGGAGTCTTGGAACGTAGGATACCAGGATCCTTCTGACCTGCAAGTGTCTTAGCACTAACGTCAAGTGAGCCTTGCTGATGAGCTCTTGCCAAATCCTGAGAACAATTTTAGTGGTGTAATGATTAATGTTTCAACTGGTATGCCGCAGCCTCAAGCATGCAAACGAGATAACGGCCAAAGTTCTGCCTCAAATCCCCGGTGGTGGTCTAGACTATATAGATGCTTTGCATTTGCCTTGCACTGAATGCTCATGAACCGTCAAACATGTGGTTCATCCATAGCTGCGTGCTGGCCCTTTGGATTTCGTTTGAAAAGTTGTAGTTGTTCAGCTTGCAAAAGCTACATCATCCATCAAAAACCATTCAGGCCTGATTTGCTCAACAGTTCCCTGAAGCGCAAGATACGAAGTCTGAACATGGGCAGGGCGGAGTAACGGTCGCGGACCTCATGGAGTACTCGAAGCCACGGGCACCACGCGGACAGGGAGCTTTTCAGCCATGAGCCCTGCCTGGACGAGAATGGCGGTCCAGCGTTCAGCAAACCTCATGGCTGACAACTTGAGGATGAGGTACATGGAGAGGCCAGCAGATGGTCTAGATTCAGAATTTTAACCAATTGAAGCAACTTCCCAAACCATCATGGCTTGACCTTCCACTTGTTGCCTATTATATAAATAGGTTCGACAGCACACCATCGTCAAAAGATGTCAAAGATGTCGTCTCTTGGGTTGAGTTCAAATGGCAGGAATCAAACATTTTCCTCTTGACCCTCCAGCGGGCGGTGGAACACAATCCGTGAAGAGATGTGAGATAGATCGCCACTGCCAGCAGCTTCTCTGTCTTTGCACAGGATTGATCATGCTTCAGGCCCGAAAAGACAACGACCTGTTTTTGAAGTATGTCCTGTCCTTTTGGTTGGTAAACCTGGCGAGATTCCCAGTAGACCATTTTTCTGGAGAGGGGTATGAATATCAGAAAGGACTTCTTGGTGGTGGACTGCTTTTGACCTGAAGAAGAGCACCCTTCATAACCCACAGACATGTCACCAAATAAAGGGAAAACCGACAAACAGACGCTTGAACTGAATTCACTGGGACATCGGATTAAAGATTTGTCAAGAAGCGTGACTTGGCTTCACTGGACGAACAACGACGAACACACATCTTTCAACAGCCAAAGGAAGGACCCTGAATGATTGTGAAAGAGGCGGGCCCTAAATGCCCATTGAGAAGCTACTAGGAGCAAAAGGCATCGCTACTAGGAGCAAGAACGCTACTAGGGGCTCCTGGCATCGCTACTAGTAACAAGAACGCTACGCCCTAAACCCAATGAGCTCATGATGAAAGACATGCCACCAACGACTCTGACTGGGCGTCTGAAGGTCGCAGAGAAGGTGCGGTCAAGATGTTGGACCAACGGAGAACGTGCTCGCAGAGACTCCAAAGGAGGCTTTTAACGAGTCGTTTGAAGTAGAGGCAAGTTAGGCGACGAAATTGAAAAGGTGCGTTTGGATTAGAGCGACCAATGTTTAGCACCTGCGCAGATGACCCCAGTTGATTTAAAAGGATGTGAGAGGGCATTCCTGCAGAGTAGCTGCTAGGGTATGCAAACAAGGCGACAGCACACATAGCACACTAACTTGGTCTACACACAAAATATAGGAACACCACACAAACTTCTTGCCGATTTAGAATGATTTAGATGTTGGATGATGGACTTTGGAACTTCTCCCCATAGAGCTACCTCCGTTTGCAGCACATCAGCCACGTGAGTTGAGCTATCCTGCGTCTAGTAGCTAGTAGAGGCTAGTTGCGACTAGCCCTTAATTAAGAACAGTTTGGAACTTCAATCCTACCTCAGTGTCCCAAAAAATCTAGGAACCAAATTACTATATAATGCGAGCGCTTCTTCAAGGAAGCTCCTCCCGCCCTCAGGCGGGAGAAGCTTCCAAGAAGAAGCGTGAGCTATCCTGCGTCCTAGGGGCTGACAAGTTTGTCCCTTACTTAATTCAGTAGGCACCTACTTATTTAAGTAAAGACGGGCTAAAAGAAAAAAAACTACGGACATGGCCCGCATTCTCTCGGAGAATCGGTCCGCGCCGCCATGGGCCAAGCTTGACTCCGCTTGATGATTCGACGCTGCTGAGGGTGAAGGTGCAAACAGATTTCTAAAAGCAAGAATAAGCAAGATGGCTTGCCATTTTACCATTCACGATTATTCAAGACCATTCAAGGTCAGTATGTTCTTCAAAACTTTAATTTGCAGCTTGGTTTGGCTCGCAAGCTTTGCATGCTTCCCTGGGCCCTTTGGTGTGACATGTACAAATCTTGTCAGGGCATAGCATAGATAATTTTTGCCACATTTTGGGACCTTTTCCCCGGAATGTAAGTCCTACCGACAACCAAGCTCGCAACAATGCACCCAAAGTCAATCCATCACAAATCTCTTGGGCCATGCGATCTCGTTTAAGCCGCCGAGCAGGAAGTGGCTTGCATTCTGGAACAGCATGCTCCCATGTGGGTTCACACTGGACATGTCCTTTGCATGACAGGGAGATTCCGGCCACATCAAACCTTGAAGGCTGAGGGTCGCCTATCTGAGTGGAGCCAGGAGATGGTCACAATCTTTGTCTCCCAGCAACTGCAAGTGCTTCAAAGCATGTTGAGCAACCTGATCGCCAAGAACGTCAAAATCCAGAACGCTATTGCATCGCAGTTGTTGTCTTCTGCTTGCTGTTCTTCTTCTTCTTCTTCTTCTTCTTCTTCTTGCTTAGTTCTTTAATCTTGTTCTTGGTCTGTCCTTTTTTTCTGTTTATTTTTCTTCTCGTCCTTCTCCTTCTCCTTCTTCTGTTTCTTTGCTTTGTCCTCCTTCTTCCTGTCTTCTTTCTGTTTTGTCTTTTTCCTGCTTGCTCTTCTTCTTCTTCTTCTTATCCTACTTCTGCCTTCCGTTTTTTGCTCCATGGACCACCTCCAGGAAAACCAAACCTGTGATCCAAGGGCTTGGATCACACACCCACCTTTTGATCCATACCCCATGGAGAGAGGTATGGATCGTGTGTGGGTTTGGGTGTGTGATCCAAGCCTTATGTTTCTGGCCGTAGCCATATAAATAAAGACCCTTAAGTAGCCTCTAGTTCAATTACCTCTCTCCTCGGGTTAGACGGTTTCTATCCTTCCACATGGGTACATCCAGCAGGAGTGGTTGCATGGTTGCCACAGATTAAGGGTGCAGCTGCTTTTCGCTCAGCTTGTCAGGGACCGGTGAGACAACTGTGAACAGTTACTGAGCAAGGTGTCGTTGATCGGTGTGGGATCTTGAAGAATCCATCGGAACTTCCGTCGGATTTTGTCCAAGGCGTGGTGCTGTTCAAAAAGAATTCACAATTGCAGGAGGGTCGGTCCTGCACCAGGGATAGGGCCCTGGACATCAATGCTCCTCATAATGCCATTGGTCTGGCAAAGTTAGTTGATGTTTGCTCTGCTTTCCAACAACAGCTGCACGTTCCTCAGATCATTGTTGGAGTCACCCGAAAACGCGATGCAGTGTAAAGGTGACGTGCTTGCAAGTCCTCCTGTTCCGCCACTCACGTCCGCTCACAGCTCCAGCGGCTTGGCCAGCACTTGGGATGTGGACCAAGGCCTTTGTGCTGCTCCAGTGGTTTGAAAAGGAAAAATCTGACCAAAACTCTTCAAAGCTGCGGCGCTTGCGCTTGCTAGAAAGACCCGCCATTTCTTCGAAAAGCGACAGTCGGAAGGCCGTCTGGCTTTTTGCCTGCCTTAAAGCTTAGACGATGCTTTGCAAGAGCCATCTGAATGATCCGATACATGAAGTGCAGTCCTTCTCGGCAAGGCCGCCCAAGTGCACAGGGTGTACCATACAAGCGAGGCGAAATTCACGGCACCTGTCACTACGATGACGGGACTCACTACGATTCTGATCGATTCTGGTAGGATGTTGCACTACAGTTCCGTCTGGGACCAGCCACGTTCAAGCCAGCTGTGGTAGTTGCATCTCTGTCCAGTGTCATCGTGCGTAGAGCTGGGTACCAAAGCGAGGAAAAG